TGAATATTAAGTAAAAGAATATAAAGTAACACCTTTTAACTTTGAATTAATTACTAACAGCAACTAAAACCTCCAAAATCATATGATAAGAGGGACTCACTGTGCTTGTGGAGATATCACCTTTGGAAACCAATGCATTGACAATAAATTCCAGAGCTGCAAGATCTCCTATATTTGAATGTATGGCAAGATCCAAAAGATTCTTAGTAGTATCTACTGGATTTTTCCGGACATAAATTGTAATGAAGGCATTCTCCACAGCTTCATAGATGGATTTATCCTGAGAGAATACCTGCAGAATCCAGCAATGATGACAGCATTAATTTCAACAGTTTAAACTATAAGTACAGAGTAGACAACCTTAAAATTAAGAATACATCATCTTTGCTTCCTAACTTGCAGTGTCACTATTTCCCAGGCATGACCAAAATTAAAAACCTACCAATGGCAACATCTTACGGAGGCAAGCCTCTGCACCATCAATTTGGAACTGTTTGCACCTCATCAGCAACAAAATAGTGTTCTCAACATCTGTGGCTGAAGATGAAGCCATCAACTGGACAAGCGTAGGCATTGTGGCAGATACACACTTAGAAAATATCAAGCCAGCCTCCAGAGATGCAACCAAAGCCCTGGTTTGCTCCAAATTCCCAATATCAGGCACTGAGCTATCCTTCTGAGGAATCCCTTCTTCCAGAGTAGGCACACTGTCAGTTAAACTCTCCTGCTGTTCCTTAACTGGTTCTTCTATATTAACATCATCCACCTCACCTCCATCATAGGTCTCATTATCAGATTGCAATCCATCCAGAACACTTTCTGCACTTTTTTCTGGTTCAAGCTCATTCAACTTCTTATTGTATTGTTCTAATGTTGCTTGAAATGAAGCTACTCGAAGCTGGGGACCAAAAGGGTTATGCTGCAACATCATGATAAGCAAATTTATTGCAGCTTTTCTAACTATTGCAGATTTATCCTCCAATCTCCCAGCAGCAACTGCAGCAACCTCATTCCACAGACCAATTGAAACAGAATGCTCTTCACATAGTTCAGCCCAAACTTGAAGAACCCGACTCCTGGTATAAGCAGAAACATCTCGGCAGCGCTCAAGCAAGATTTCCAACATGGCTTGCTTTGTGCGGAGACGAACAGATTTAGAACTGACATCACCCTCAACATCCTTAAATGCCTTTGCCACCAACTTCCCCAGAACAGCAACAAGAGCATTCCTTATCTTGTAAGATTCTCCTCCAAAATGTGGGACCAAGACCCCAATGTTAGTTGAAATCAACTTTGGTAGCCGATCAGCAAGCTCTACAAGAAAACGCCCAACATTTTCAGCCCCAACAGTGTCTTTCACATAAGCTTTTGGATTAGTCCTCCCAACCTCTCTGATCAAAGAACTGGCAAGGGTGCCATCAGCATACTTCTTCTCAGCCCCAGCAACCGCATCAGCCATGTGGGTAACAACATAGTCATATTTGTGAACTAGGTGCATGATTGAAGCACATGACTGTGCTGTATAGTGGTATTTCGTAGCACAAGCCCCAATTATTCGGCAAAGAGCATCTTTTGTCTCAGAGTCCTTTATAAGTGTTGCATTCTCAAACAAACCAAATGCATTTCTGTAAAACCCCAAATCAAAAAATTTCAAACACAGCACCAAAACATAATTATGGCAAGTCAAAGCAGAACAACATTACTAAGTAAGCTTACTTTGTAATGAAAGAAAGATAATTTTCATCAGGGTCTGTCGATCCAAAGAGCAACGCAAGGTTGATCTCTAGTGAATTAGCAATCAAATTAAGTATCCGGCCCCTCTGTGGTTCCCAATTCCATGAATGTACCGGCTGTTTCTTCCTATTAGGCCCTGTCATCTAAACCAATCCAACAACAATATCACACCCAACAAGTCACACACGCACAGGCACACACAAAATTCAAAAAAAAAATAAAACAGCAAACCCAATATCACTCTCACACCTAAAAATCCCTTCAGGTAGCATGATGGCAAATAGATTACCTTAGTTTTGTTATTTGAACTAGCACTTGACTCCTCAGATAGAACAATACTGACGAGGAAAAATGTGTAAATTTTAAGAGCATTTCGATAAGAAGAAACTCGATCAAGCACCGGAGGAGTCTCATTCCCATTGTCATTATCATCATCCTGACCTTGAAAAACGCGCAAGAGAGAATCCACATTTGGGAGCAAAACACTTAGATTCGACCGAAGACTCTCCACAAGATTGACTTTACAGGATGGAGTTAGACTAGAAAACTCCTTAACTAACGAATATACGTGATCAAACACTTCTTGCTCCTCAATGCAGAATATCTCTTTATCCGACAAATCAAAGGATACTCCTAATCCAACAAAAAAAATCGATCAGAGTCTAAAAAACCATTAAAAATTGAATTTTCCATCAGTAATTCAAGATTACATTCACAATTAAAATTAATTGCTAAAAAGCGTCGAAATTGAGCTCTTTAATTACATTTTTAAAACACCTAATCCTATAAAAATTCAAAATTTTTAATAATTTTTTTTATAAAAACTAAATCTTTCTGTTTCACTCTATTATGATTCATAAGAACAACTAAGTTAAGAGTTTATTTTCCCTATTATTAACAGTTCACTAAAATATAAAAAATTCTTTTGTTTTCCCGCACCTTCTCGAAAAACAAACAAAACTAAACCCTTACCTTGTCGAGAAATAAACAAAAACAACGAGAAATACCAAGTTGAAAAGAAGTAGAACATGATAGCATGAGTGTAATTAGTGGGATTGAGTAAGGATGGAACTGACCTTTGACAAATTCTTCGAGTTCAGGAAGACGGAGAGAAGCGACGTCGGTTGGGTTCAGAACGTGGAGACGATTGTCTTCGTTTTCTTCTTCTAAGGATTTTAGATTTTTTGGAAACACAAAATGAGGAGCCATTTTCAGAGAGATAGAGAATTTGAATGGGGTTGTTCTCTGCTTCTCTTTTGGGATCTTCTTTCTTTGCATGAGGTGGGGGATGAAATTTGAATGGGACACTGAAAAGGGGAGGGAGCGGGAATTTGAGTGAAGTTATGGGCTCAGCCCATTATATTACAGGCCTCTGAATGTTTCATTCGGGCCTGGCCATATAAGGCCCGATAAACATGGCCCTGTGTGGAATCCGTAAGATGGTCGAAAGCAGGTATTAGGGCTTTCATCCAAACCAATAAGCATGACCTTGGCCTCTTTTTTAAACTGTTTTTCATTAAAAAAAATATATTAAATTAATATTTTTTATATTATTTCAATGAATTTAACTTGCAAAATCATTTTACCCCACATTAATAAGCACACATTAATTAAACAATAGCTTTATTGATTACTAAAAATATTTAAGAAAAAACTCAAATAGGTTTAAAATTCAAAATAACTGAGATTTAATTGGATTTAAAAAAACATTTATCACAACCAATCTTAATTAAAATAATTTGGACACCATGATTTAATTAAATTTTAAAATTTATAATCGGATTCTAACTTGGTTCAAGGCACATGAGAGATAAAAACAATATTTATCAATACATACCATACATTTACTTCTCCTTGATCACAATTAGATAAAAAACCAAAATAAGAAATATTTATTTCTTAATATTATGTAATTTAATTTAATTTAACTTAACTTAACTTTAAAATGTAAATTACGAGATATAATAAAATTTTTATTTTTTTTAAATTGGATGTGTGGTGTAAAAACACTCTCGTTAAAATAAATAAATATTTTTTAATTTTAAAAGGTAACTTAACTAGTTAAATTTTAAATTTATTTTTTAATAATTTTAAATTTAAATTTTTTTAATACTATTAAAAATTTATATAATTATAAACTCTTAAATTAAAAAATACACCGGCTCATCCAAGCACCAACTCTAATATAAATATATATATTGCAACTTTATTAAAGATGTCATGTGTATTACTTATGGGTTACAGCTTTTCTTTATTTAATGCTTTTAACAATCAATGCTTTTATTGACATGGGTCTCCCTGTCTCTCTCGACGAGAATTGAATCCCTGGGCACCATGCCACGTGTCCTTCATTTGCCAATCAGGTTCTTGTCCAAAAGAACTCAACTGAGCTTCCATTGTAACATCAAAGATTGCCCCTTTTTTTGGGCGTAATTTTCCACAAAACCCATGTCCCAAGACAGAGCACTGTCCTTGCTTGCAAGACCATCAACCACAGCAAAGAAATAAAAAAACAAATCATGAAAAAAGAACTCCTCACTGGCTAATATTATTTTATTCTCAAATATAATCCTCTTAAGATTCAATGGAATTTCTCAACTTATTTGATAATCATGATAATTATAAATTAAAATAATTCGTTATAATCAAATTAAAATTCATCTGTGTTACTTAATAAACTAATTATAGTCAAATCAAATTTTAATAGCATTTTTAATCAAATTAAAATTCATCTGTGTTCCTTAATAAACTAATTATAGTCAAATCAAATTTTAATTGCATTTTTAACTTAGTAGAACAATATTTTGGGAATAAAATCACTCTCACAAATCAGGTGTTTCCACAAATAAAATTTTTGGAAATTCTTTCATGATAGATGACTAATTAAGAAATAGACAAAACAATTATATATACATATATATATATATATTGGAGTTTTATCCATGATTTTCTCCAAAAAAAATTAGTTATAGAATGATTTACTAACTCATTTTATTTTTAAAATTTTATTTATTGATTAATCTACTTAATTAAGAAATATTATTGAAATCTAAACTTACAACAACTAATTGACTACAATTTATTATTTTCATCGATGATTATTTAACTAATAAGTTAAAGAATCTTATTAAAATGTAAATAAATTATTATTAAGAATATAGAAAAAAAACCTTTATATTAAAAAAAGAATTTTTTATTTTTTTATTTTTAAGAAAGTGTTGTTTCTAAAAATACACCTGGAGGTGTGCTAGCTTCCCAAAAAATTTGTCGGGAGGTTATATTTTTTTTTTAAATAAAAAAAAACACTCAAAGTCTTTCCAAATCTTTGACTTCATCATCTGTAACTAGCAGCTTTGGACAGCAGGTTGTTGATCCTGAAATGGGGTTATCTTTCTCTCTTGAAAGCTGAAATCTTAAAAGGGAGAGGAAAGGAAAGAAAGCGTCAGAGAGAGTAAGAGAGGAGAAATGGCAATGCCATGGAGCATGGCTATATGGATTGCAAATATGGTATGGATGGGACTTATAGGATTGGTTTCTACTTGCTTGACTATTGCTGATGAGCTTGCTAGTTCTCTTAGAACCGGAGATATTGGTCCTTTTCATGTTGGCTGATCTTCTTCCTTCAAAACTAGGTGACTCTTTCTTTTCGCCTTGTCTATTGCCTTATCTTGTGTACCTGCAATTTTTCTCTTATCTAATTCAATCAGGCAATTGCTGTTTCTTTACTGGCCATCCCAAATATATTTCTTTTTCTTTGTTGGGTTTCTGTTTGATACCTTGTTTTCAATTATTTAATCAATCTGATGTCTTGTGGTTCTTGTTCAATTCCACTACAGCTGGTTAACTTTTGGAATTTAAAATATCAAAATATTTGGGTGGTTTTGTGTTATTTTCTTTTATTAGTCTTGAAAGGCATATGATTTTTCATGTAACTCAATTGCTTCTTTAACTCCTGCTTCTGCTAATAAATAACAGTTGGATGCATGATGGCCTTCATCTTGTCGGTAGCGTGGCTTTCTGTCTATGTTTGTGTTTGTGTCTTTTGAAGTATATGTGTTGTCTAGCAAATTATTGGTGATCAGGATAAAGGAGTTCATGTAGTTTTCAGTACTTGCTTGGTGTAGAACTTCCTTTGAATGTGACATACGAAAGAGCTGATCTTGACAAAAATCTGGAACTAGAATGGAATTGTAAGTTAAACGATTTGTTCCTTGACCCATCGGACCTGTGGGAGTGGGGGTGGTCCTGCAGCACAAAGATGGGGTTATTCATGATTGTATTGTTACCAGGTTTCTCTGGCAAGGTTTTGGGAAACTTTGCTTTCTCATCCCATAATGTCCTCGTTCTCAACAGAACCTGATGGTGTCTCATCTGAGACATAATTTTGTTATGTGTGCTGTGCATCTCCTTTTATATGCCCTAATATAAACTTCAAAATTTGGCAGATTGATCTGTCTTGTACATGTTTCTGGATTTCATGTATCATGGCAGTGGTGGTAGCAATCGAGAAAAGTTTTCACATAATGTTTGTGGTCTCATTCTGATCCTCTTAAGCTCGGTCGAGATATGGTTTTAGTATGTAGCTCAGTTGTTGCTTTCCATATTGCAAAATTTTGGGGAATCTTGGTCCTAGTTCTCTAGTTAGTTTATTGACAAAGGACTGTTACCCTTTTCAATGGATTTCTAGCGTTGCATATCAAATGTGAATGTATAACTTGGTTGGCTTCATAGGTGGTTTTATGGTTCTTCCATTGCTTCAGGTTTTTGTTGGCTTTGCATCTTTGAGACATGTATTCCATGTTGGTCTCAATGGTTTGTTTGACCCTATCCAATGTTTTTCTGATCCTCTTAATCTGGTTATAGCTTCTTTTCAAATATCTTTGCAGCATATGGCCTTGTCTTTTTAAGGCAATCTTAACAAAAGTGAGAAATTGTTTGGTTTTTGGTTCTTTTGTTAGTGAATTTACTCATGCACTTGACAGTAATGATACAGGTTAAAAAAAAAACAACCATGATGAAGTTCACCTGCAAAATAGCTTGCCTGAAGCCTTAATTGGCTATTCTTCTGGCCATCTTTTTCAGTGTCAGTCTTTCAAGTTTGTGCAGAGAATAAAATACAATCATAAACAGAGTGCCATTCATTACCTTGAGAAATTATGTAAATAAACTGAAAGGTGTTCATATGCCGGAGATGTGATTCTTTGAGTTCCTACTTGCTAGTAGCTTGGTCGAGTTGGTATCCTGCATGCACTTGAACCTTTGTTTCTTACTTCACAAAACAGTCGGTGACTGTCTAAAGTATTTTACTTCACAGATTAATTTGACTTCAAAGATAGTAGAAATAAAGTGATGTGTATATTGAAACTAGGAATTCTTCCAAGATGCTTCGAGTTTTAATTCAAACATACTGGAATTGTATATCTCATTTAATTTGACTTTCGACTATCATATCCACAGAAAGTGTAAGAAGATCAAGAGGAGATGATTCCGCAGAAGTTGGAGCTCTTAGTATTTAGTAGCTCAGACAGCGAATAACAGTAGCAGAATTTTGTTGAGCAGAATTCTGTCTGGCAGCAATTGTATTACAAATGTTTGCAACGCATGAGATTTGAAAAAAAGGTTTATGTTTCAGTTGTTTTTTCTATTGCACTGATGGTTGAACTGTTGCGATTATGAACTGTATATAGATTGCGGGGCACTAAATATACCAACGAACGTACATTAGATTTAGTTTGTTCTTGGCAGTACTGCAAGGGTGTATGATTTAGTGATCCTTGCTCCTGCAAAGCATCAGAGATATGAAATGAAATATAGAGTTCAGTTCTGCCTATGTCACTTCATGAGAAATGGAATTTAAGGCACGCCAATCTCTTTTTTGTTTGTGCCACAAATTTACGCAAAAACCATCAAATGGCCTCCTCTATTGTGGTCCTTCTACAGCTCCACTGGGTAGAGGTCTCTTCTTCGAGTACATATGTCGGTGGGACTAATTAGACATGGAAATACAACATTACTAAGAATCTAGTTAAGGGATTCGAATTCAAGACCTTAACTGCATGAGCCTGAACTAATCCTTTGAAGCAGCCGTCGTCTTGCTGGCTAACACGAGCTCCTTGGCTAAATGAGCCTGACCCGAACCAATTCGTGGGAGCAGCCATTGTCTTGTTGGCTGTAACATGCTTAATCAAGCTAATATATGTAGCAAACTTGGTCCATCCAATTTCTTGTTCAGCAAGGAAAAAACAGCATAGCAGCTAGCTGTATTGTACGAATGGTAAAACCCAGGTCTTCCAGTTCTCTTCAAATTTGCTTCACCTGTTCCGTTGCTATTTATCTCTAAAACCTCCATTAAACCTTCCAAAACATACTCGTTCCTTTATATCTTACAAACACAGTACTCCCCAGATTTTCTTGTATGAGTTACTATTGAAGTAGAGGAACAAACACAGCAAAATCTGATAGATAGGAGAAGATGCCATTAGCAAGCACCACTAGATTGCTTTGGCCTTTCGGATTTCTTAAATCTTGTAGTGGGTGTAACTATTTTCAGTACTGCTAATCCAACTTATTTTGTTCTACGTACAATCCTGTACTGAGACAAGAATCAAACCAAAACGACTACATCATGGTGGTCTCTGATCTTTAACGATCAAAGATTCTTGTATTTCCGGCATATAAAACTTGTTACCCAAACGAGATTGTGGCTCAATCGGGGTTTGCCCAAATGCATGAATCCTAGCATCAGTTTATCCAACAAAGTCTTTCGGTAACGAGAGAGAACATTAATAGGTTTGCTGCTAATGTTTCTGTGGGTGGGGGTGCTTGTTTGAACCGGAACATGTCCATTCACAAGGTCTTCCTCATGGTGCTATAACGATTTGCCAAGAAAATCCTCACCCTCTCTCACCTGGCCAATGCCCAGAGACGTGGTGGCTAGCTAGGGCCTTGCCTTTGCTGCCAAAATGGTGGAAATCATATTATCCAACCATGCTATTATATATAGATAATATTGGTGTATTTTATGGTAATATTAATAGCCTTTTGAATTATTTTTAATTTTTTTATCATAAAAATTTAATACGAAATGTTAAATTTAATATGTATAAACTTCTTAAGTATATCTGAAATATTTGTTTCTAATTTTTTAATACAAATTTTTTATGTAACTTTTTTTTTTTTTATTTACGTGGGGTGTCCGGGCCAGCTTGCGCGCACCACGACTAATCCCCATGACCTACTGAATACCCTGCAAACCCAATAGACATGCAAGGCACCGCGGAGGTGACAGACGTGCATATCAGGGCTCGAATCCAGGTGCAGTGGAAGGAGACAAGCCTCTTTCACCGCTAGGCCAAGCACTGGTTTGCAATTTTATTTTATTTTATGTAACTTTTTTCAAGCTTATCGTTGTTATTTTTTTTCATAAATTCATGTTGAGATTATTAATTTATTTTTTTAATTAAATTTTTTTTATGATTATGATAAAACAAAATCTTGTAAACAAAAACAGAATGCATTAATAAGAGAAATGAATTTTGAGTAAAATGATACTTTTTTATACTTGTTTCAGATCATTAATTTTTTTATTAATATTGATTTTAATCGCTTAAGGTTTCTATGTAATAAACAATATAGCTAAAGAAAGATTTTTTTTTTTGTTAAAGAATACATTGATAACAAAAAGAAAATTTATAGTAACAATTACATTAATTTTTCTACACAATTTAAATAATTAAATTTCTAATAATAGTATATTTTTATCATATAATTAAATAAAAAAATAAAAGACCATATCATGTCACCAAATCAAATATATTCATGTTTATATATTTTTTTTAGCTTCCTACTTTAAATTTTTAATTAATATTAATGACTCGTTTTATGATTTATTGACTCATTAGTTTTACTTTATGTTTGTTAAATGCATTTTCAAATCTTGGTCAAATTTTTTTATGATCTCATAAAATGCAGTCAAATTGCTTGCGATTTCTTCTTTCGTGAGTAATTGCTCAACACTAGATAAATTATTATGCTGGAGTTTGAATTAAATTTTTATTGAACATGAAAGAAATATCTAGATATTATTAATATGTTTTTTTAATGAAAACAAATATATGAAAGTTGACTTAACATGATAATATTAACTTGATAGGTTCAACGACAACCCAAACAATTATTAAAAATATAATTTAACTAAAAAAATATAGATGATATTATAAAGTTAAATTTTCATTCATTCTAATGTTGTAAAATAAAATTTAAAATAAAATCAATTTAAAAAGGAATTTAAAAAACCCGAGCCAAGCTAACTAACCTGAAAAATTCATGTCTAATGTCATAAGACTGTGATAATTTCATAGAAAACAAATAAAAATATAAAGTTAAATTTTCAATCAACCTAATATTGAATGATAAGTCAATAAAAAACTAAAATAAAAAATAAAAAAAATAACTCAGATCAATTTAGATTTTCTTATCAAACTTTAGTTATAAGATTAAGATAACTCTATAGAAAATAAATTAAAATAAATTATAAAATTCAATTTATATTAAACCCAATATTGAAAGATGAGATTATAAAAAAAAAACTTGAGAATCAAATTATAAAAAAAATCAAAATATTTCACTGCTTGTTGAAATGCCAAAATCTTTTCATATACATGTTAATAATATGTTAAATTTAATTATATTAAGGGTTGGATTTGTAGAGAGATAGTTATTTATTAAATAAAAAATACAAAATTTTACTTATTAGGTGGTAAATATCTATTTAAGTATTCATTACCTAAATATTGTTTCTTATTTAGTATAATATACATACATACATATATATATATATATATATATATATATCAAATAAGATAATTGAATTGAATTAAATTAAATTATCATAGCTACTCGTACTCGTGATTTGTAAATCAAGTTTGAAGCTTTTGTTTGTCTTAAAATTCCACACTTTATTAAGCGTGTGAGATTAATGCAAGAGTGATTTTATTAAGGAAATACTTATGAGGGTGAGTATAGTAGTAGTAGTTTTTTAAAGTATTTTTTATTTGAAAAAAATATTAAAATAATTTATATTTTTTAATTTTAAATTATTTTTTTTATATCAACATATTAAAATAATATAAAAAATAAAAAATATTTAAAATTTGGCAAAATAGTAGTTGTAATGCCCAGCCAAACACTTCTAAGTGGGCCTGTGTACTTGGGGCCCCCTCTCACGCCCCATCGGGCTTTGGGCATGTTCTGTTAATAACCAGCGATTATCCCATGCATTGCCCTAAAACAATGTGAAGGTATTCTGAACTCTCAAATTCTCAATCAATCATGAGTTTTAAACCTTTATCATCAGCAGAAAAATTTCTTAATGAAAATCACATAATATATGATAAATTGATATTATTTTGAGATGGACATAGTTATCAACCTTAAGGATTATTGGGTAAATTATTTTTATTAAAATAATATAATTTATTTTTTTATTTTTTTCTTTAATACTGACCCAAACAGTCAAATTTAGACCGAGTTAATCAAAACACTTAAATATTTAACTAAGTTTAACAAAATCAATTTCATATTTGATTTAATTAAAAATATAATTCGAATCAGATTTTAAAGTTTTAATTTTTTTAGAAATTAAATTAAATTTATTAACAATACTTAGAAACGAAGCCCACAGTATGATGTCCCATAAATTGCCACCGTGCTGGTGTGACGTCCTAACAAAATTTGTCTAAGAGTACCCTTCAGGAAAAAAGACGGAAAGAAAGGTGAAAATCAGCGTCCCTATGCCTTATGAGGTGCATAATAATAAAGGTTAGGCCAATTCTTTTGGGACAGCATCATTCAAGGGTCCAATTAGGTTAGTTTTGGTTTGTTGAAATTAAATTTCTTTTTTTTTTTATCTAGATTTAAATAGGTAATTTGTGTCTAATTTGATACATTTGTGGAAAAATCTATTTCTTATAAGCCTCTTGAATCGGAAGAAGGTCTTTAGAGAGTATTAGGGTGTTTTTTAAATTGTTTTTTCAAAATAATTTTTATTTAAAATAAATCAAATTTAATGTTTTTCATGTGTGTGTTTTTTTTTAATTATGATAAATTAATGTAAAAAATATATATATTTTAGTATATTTTTAATTAAAAAAATCATTTTTGAAAACCTCGCTACAAACACGATACTACTAAACACGTATTAAATGCATTGAAAATGGAGAATTTCTAATTTCTTGTCCATTTATTATGGGTTGAATGGATAAGAAATAGTATAATTTTCCTGTAAAAAAGGGAGATTTGGATTCTAACCAATCATAAATCCTTTGGTGTTCCTTCTTACCCTATATCTAGTTGAATTACCTAAAAAGCGTTACAGAACCATCTCCATCACCAATTTCAACTACCATTGTCGTTGAAATTTCAGTATTGTGTCAGCTCGGAGCAGTTTCTTCACGAAAAGCAAGCGGATGTGATGGATATGTTCAATTCCATTATCGACTCTTATCATCCATTGCTTTTTGTTCCTCTTCCTTTCCCTTTATTTATTCTAACATTCATGACCAGTTCAATCTGATTCTTGATAACATGACCTTTGCAGTCCTAGTTCAATCTTAGCCATGGAACAAGTTGACAACATGTGATCAGTTGAAAGCATTCTTAGGCTTTAGCCATACTGATTGGCAAGCTGGATTGAACATTCCCACTGGGTCACAGCTCATGTACTGCATATAGCTGTGATCACATGTTTTATACCAAACTGTAGCAAGCAGGAATAGAATCCTTGGACAGCATGTTTGTGCATCAGTACCATCTATGATGCTGTCAAAGATC